CATGCACACCACCATTTCCAGTAGGTATCTGCAGCCCAAGAACTGCTTCCTGACAGTCAGTGGCTGCCCGCTTGCCCGAGTAGCCAGCCTAGTTCAGACCAGTTGCCACCACTGTCTGCTCCTCATGTCTCGGTCACACTAACTCGCCCACCACACTGCTTCCCTTGGCTTCAATCACCTAAGAGATGGATGGCGCAGGATTCCTTGCTGCCTCAGCAACACACACACTCAATAGTCCCAAACCGGAAGTCTCTCGTTTTATTACTGGTTTATCAGCTGTTTCTGATTTTTCACTGTGTTCTGATAGCTGTTGTTGTTAAGTGCAGTTGAGTCGATTCTGATCCAGAGTGACCCTGTATAGGGTTTTTGAGGAGCAGCTGGTGAGCCTGAACCGCCTAACTTGCAGTTCAAACGGCTTTGCAGTCTGGCGCATTATTCCCAGGGTGCCACATCGGGACTTTTTTCTGATACTGTGTATCTGAATAAACCATGTGGGAGCCGAGTCTGACGCCCCCTGGCGTCACAAGGGAGAAAGAGACTCAAAGTCACAATCAGCCCAAGGCCGATTCCTAGGAAGCTGAGGTTCCTACTGACCCCAACCGTCCCTCCCCCGGCATCTCTGCTTCACATCTGGGTTCCATAATCCACTGCACTGGCCTCTCAGAACTTAACAATACTCCCGATGACGGGGTTTATTGAGGAAGTGAGCAGGGTACGATTCAGTATCAAAACCAACTGAGGACGCTGCAGTTCTCCGGCAGGACGGGCTCTTGCCTGTCACACTGCAGACACACCTCAGCCTTATCTCAGCCTCTCAGCCATGTGGCCCCTTGGCCTCTGCCCCGCTCGGGTAAGAGTTACAAAGCTCTTGTAGTCAGTGTGTGCATGGTCAGAGGGCACACTCTGTAAGCCAGTCTCCGGCCTGTGGGCGCTCAGCTTCACTCAGTCCTAGCTCTCTCCAGGTCACCACCTCTGCTGTCCCCATTTTTCTAGGGGACATGCTCTTCCTTCTCGACGGCCCTGGGGTCTTCTGTCTCTGCTCCTGAGATGTCTCCTGTTAAACCTCACTGCAGGACAAAACTAACCAATCCCAGCCTTAGAGTCCTGACTACCTTACTTGCACGGTCCCACCCAGTCACTTGGTGGGAATGAAGAAGACTTGGGTTAGAAAAGTCATAGCAAATAAATTCAAGGTACCAATCTATTCTAGGAGGGGTGACGCAGTTTCTCAGGTGACTAACGGCACCGAGAACCTTTTCATATTCTTATTGACCATTTGTATATCATCTTGATGAAATCTTTATTTATGCTTTATAACCCATTTTAAAAAATCATTTGTATGTTGTTGGGAGGTATACTAAACCCTTATGAGATTTATGATTCCCAAATACAGTAAAACTTGTATTAGCAGGAATCTGTACCTGTCAGAGAAGGAAAAGTGGAATATTTTCCACTGAAATGGGCAATAGAGAAGACAGACAGCACCCTCTGAAAGAGGAAAACTTGGGAGACCCATAGAAGCAAAGCAGTCAGATCGAGACCACGCCCCTAGAGACCACGCCCCTAGAGACCACGCCCCTAGAGACCACGCCCCTAGAGACCACGCCCCTAGAGGCCACGCCCCTAGAGGCCACGCCCCATAGAGGCCACGCCCCATAGAGGCCACGCCCCTAGAGGCCACGCCCCTAGAGGCCACGCCCCTAGAGGCCACGCCCCTAGAGGCCACGCCCCCGGAACTCTCCCAGGTCCCCCAACGCCATCTCCACTCTGGATGTGTTCTCATGAGTTTGTTAACAAGGTCCTTTGATGCACCAGGTTTTTCATTTACTTGTTTGGTCTTTTATTGTGGGTGCTTTCAGTATCCTCTCTGAAAATCCACTGTTGAAAACTAGATGAGGAAGAAATAAATTCTTTTTCTTTTTCTTAAAAGGAAAGTTTACTTGACAAGTTTCACTTAGCCCATTACACCTAAAAGAAAATCACAGTTCACTGGAAGATCTCAATCAAGGCCTTAGGATTTATTTCCTGCAAACACCAAGACCAAAACCCTAAAGTATCAGCACGGTGGCTTATTATCCCAGCTAACTTAAAAAACAAAGCTTAAACTTGCATGCCTTACAGGTTATTAAATGAAACTAGAATTAACAAACAAGCCAAAAGGTTCACTTTTCATTGCAGACAGAGCTCCCATATTTGAGTTTTACAAAAACAGCCTGTCTTTCAACATGCATTTGGTCTTCAATATAACGTAGCATCCGAGCCAACACTTAATGAACAAAACTGAACTGCTTCAACCTAACTAAATACGCTTTCTGCTTACAGACATTCTACAACTAACTTGAGAAAGGCTGAAAATGGTTTAAGTTATTGGTTATTCAAACTTCATTGTTACATCTAGATAAATGGTTTGTGTTCAAAAACACTGAACATCTTATCAAAAGAATCCTGATTTCCACTTACGAGTAGGCATAAATCTCACAAGCTTGTGCTGCCAAACGCTTAAATAAATAAATGCTGAGCACGAGTCAGTGATCAGGGAAGGGGTACAGTCAATGTCCACACTCCTACTGGAGTCCTGCTGTGGGTTAGTGCGCTGAATTGCAAGGTCAGTGGTTCAAGCTGACCAGCCACTGCTTGAAAATCCTTGAGCACCACACCTCATCCTTTCAACGCCAGCTCCCCTGCCAACATGCTGTGCCCTCTGCCGGCCCCGGGGCTGGCAAGTTTTTAAGATGACCACATGAAGGCCTCCCCCCCACCCCACCCCCGTACTCCTCCCTTGGACGTCCACCAGCAATGTTATCCCATTTGGCACGATTTTCAACCCTGAGAAGCACTGAACAGTTTCTCCCTGGCTACATCCAAAAGGAGTCCTCTAGGCCGTGCAAAGCCATCATTGCCAGTGTCGGGACTATGGAGACCATATGCTTCAACACCCAACCCATTTCAACGTGGTTTGACTCACATACTTCAACACATCTGTGTCCTGGAGTGTCTCTGTCAATTTGACTTCATCTTATGATTCAAGTTCACAAAAGCCTTGCCACTCGGTCTGCCTTCTCCCATGCAGATGAAACAAAGACCTCGAGGCCCAGTTGGAATTTTGCAGTCAGAAGAAAAACCCCTGCACTTCACTGACCAAGCAGAGCCAACGCAGACCCAGACCCTGACCACGAACCCCTCTCTGCCTTCAGAGCCCAACATCACCGTCTCTTAGGGGTCCTGGCATCGAGATACGACTGCACAGCCTACTTCAGTGCTACTGGGGCAAAATACTAAATTCTTATTTTTTTAAATTGTAAAATTATTGCATGGGTTAAAAAGTTCAAATAGAAATCAGGTAAAAATGATCATTACACACCACTTGTAATCTCAGCATTGGTACAAAAATGTGGCCTTTCTTTTTGCCCGTTCAGAAAGTAGACTGAGAAAAAATGATCTTTAACACCACTTATAATCTCAACATTGGTAGAAAATTTGGTGTCTTTCAGTTTTCCGTTTCCTTACCTAGAGATAGGTATTCAGAAAGTCTTTCCTTTCTGGACTGAGGTTCCCCTAAGGGACATGACAGGTAATACAGTCCTTCATGAGTAATCCAAACCTTCATTCACAACTACGGAGTTTCCCCAGCTCCGAATCTAAGACCCGCCCCCCTGGAGAACCCGCCCTCTCAATTCCATTGGCTAACGGCCTGGTGGGGGCCAGACTGTGCCCTTCCTTCCCTCCAGCTAGCGCATCAGGAGTGGGAATGGAGCCTGGGTCAGAGCCTGCAGTGTGAACCTTCATTTCCAGAGGGGACAACCTGCAGGCTGAGGTCTGGGCTCTTGGGCACCAATGGACTCAGACAGCAAACCCTCCCTCCCCAGGGTCCACGCGGGGCACCCAGGACTGGGTGGCCCTGACACCTAATGCGCCCACAGCCGGGCTTTAAAATCTCTCCTGAACTAACCTGATGCTCACCCGGCTTTCCCAGCCCGTCAGGGGCTCCACATCCACTCACCAGATCCGAGGAGAGCGTCCACGCTGCGCCCACAG